TCCAAGAGTTGGCCAGACAAGCTCTCTCCTAAGGCAATCTACCTCAAATTAGGGTTTCATGTTGCATCAAGATACTTGAGTCCAAGGGATCCCAAATGCTCACCAATGTCTTAATATGTTCTCAAGATCATCCATCTCAAGTTTCAAGCATTGCAGAGGAAGTTTGCTCAGTCAATTGCTCAAAGGCCTGAAAATCGACTATGCTAGGGCAAAAGTCAACTGTGGCCCACATAAAACCAACCTTCAAGATTTTTAGTCAACATTCTCATTTTTAAGTATATTTCATCATTTGATCAAGGGTTTATCATGATTAATCAAGGATTGCTCATAATTCATCAAGACTCAAAAGTTGTTAAATTAGGGTTTTGTAGGAAAAGTCAACTCAACTTTGACCAAGCATAACTTTCTCATACTTTATGAGAAATAATCCCATCCAAAGCTCATTTTTAAGAGGATGCAATTCCATACAATCCATATTCATCTCACAAGTTCAAAATATGCACTCACAAGAAGTTATGAATTTGGACATTATAGGTCATTTTGGAAAGTCAACAAAAACACCTTTTTTTGTCAAAGCTTTATACATGAGCATGGAATATCAAATTGAGATAAGACAAAAAGGGTTGATTATAGGACATCTCAAGCTTTATAAAAAGTCCAAGAACACCTTCAAATAGTCAAAATTGAGGAAGTTATGCATTGGTGAAGTTGACCTTTTTTGCAAAATTGCCAAAAGTCAACTATGCCTAAAACTTCAAATTTTGCCAAATGGGCCCAATCTTTTTCACTTGTTTTGAGTTGGAAACATAGTACACGAGCTCTAGCCCTTGCCACTTGTCATTATCATATTTTTATTATTTATTTTGATTTTTATTTGATTTAAATCAATTTTAATCAAAATAAATCATATAAAATCCAAAATATTGAAAACAAAAGATTTTGTGCTTGTTTCAGGTTTTAATTACAGCTAGCGTCAAATCAAACTCGTGCAAGGCATTAGGGTGGACAAAAAGATTGATTTTAGGCCAATTTTGGAATGATATTCAAGAGAATCAAATCACAATCAAATTCAATAATGGAAGAAGATTGAGTACAGTCTATCAACCATAATCCATTCCTTGATACATATAGAACGTGTGCAGACTCAAAACTAGGTGAGAAGGAGGCGCAACAAGGAGAAACAAACTTGAAAAATCACAACAAAAGTGTTGGATCGAATTCCTATTTCCGGGCATCCTCAAGGCATCCTAGCTATCTCAATCACTTACTGAGATTCCCAGCAAGCAAAAGCGATCAAAAGCAAGTGTTTCCAGCCTCTATATCACGTTGTAAGTCCATCACGAACTTGCTTGTTTCTTGAATTCAGTTTGCATGATTTAGGAATTGTTTGCATGAATTAATCATATATTGTTGATCCATAGAACATTTGCAAGCTTTCTGCATCATTTAATTTCATTTATATGCCCTGTATAAGATTTCACCATGGCTAGGGTTTCTAGCTTTAAATTGGGATTTTTATTTACAGGAAAAATTGGGTTATAAAAGGGCCACCACCTTTGTGATCAGCAAGGCCAGACGAAGCCATCCATGGCCTTCATTTTTATTTATAACGCTTGTGTTAAGTTTTGAGATTTACAGGGGCAATAGCTACGGACAAACGTCCGTAGGTAAAAGTTTGAAACTTTTACCAACGAATCCAAGGAAGGAGACGACTGCGTGGCACCCTTCCATTGGCTTGTTCAAATTTTCGCGCGTTGATTTGATACATAGAGCCTTTTTAATATTTTTTTATTATTTTGTATTATTATAACAAATGGAACAATTGGCCCAGTGGTAGCCAGACATGCGTTAAGGTGTTGGAAAGCTTGAGGTCAGGGGTTCGACCCCTGCCTCCAACGTTTGTTATTTTTCTTAATTTCTTTCAGGTAATCACATGCGTTTACAAATCCAAGGCCTATCATACGTCTTCAAGATCCAGTCTGCCAAGTGGCTAGATGGCCTAATCTGATGGCCAGCAAGGGAGGGGCACCATGAAGCCTCAGTCAAAGCAACGCACTGGATTCACAAAGTCAAACGGACCTCCCTGTTGTTGGGCCCAGAAGATGCTTCTCACACCCCCCATAATAATTCAGGCCCAAATCTTTTTCTCTATTCTTTTTTTATTTGTTTTATTTAATTTTATTTATTTATTTTACTAACAATTAATTATTTTCTTTTTTATCAAAAAATCACAAAAATATTACTTTTCATAAATTAGGTCTAGATTTTATTTTTATTAAAAATTAATTAATTTAATTAGGTTTGTTAATTTAGATAACTTTAATTTCTTTTTTGTACATAATTAAAATTAATTAGAACAAATAGGTTTTATTTCTAATTTAAATTACATTTTCTTTTTTTAAAATAACCAAAAATAAAAACACAAAAATAGGCCATGTAATTATTTTTATTAATTAATTTAATCATTAATTAATTTCCATACTTAATTTAGAAAACTTAATTCTTTTATTAAAAAACAACAAAAAACAATTTTTCTTTTCATTAGGATAGAAAGGTCAAAACCCTAATTTCTTCTCGATCTTAATTTTTCTCGCGCGCTTTATTTTTATTACTTAGCATATTGATTTAACTGCCTACAATTTATAATAGTTTAATTTGGACGTTTATTTACATTTACCGCTTTACTTTTCAAGGGTTTGTTTTTGGCTATGTAAATATCTGAAGCCTTGTAATAGCGTAGTTTAATTTCCGCATTTTAAATTCCGCAAATATTTAACTGTTAGATGTATGATATAGGGATGCATGACAAGAATGTATGTGAAAAACTTTAAAACAGTTAGACAACCCTAAACATGTGCAAAGATAAATAATATGAAATTGAATCACTCGCACATGCGCACTCCTAGGGTACACTCCCACTTGGTTGCCTTCGGTAAACGGCCATTGAGTATATGATGCTTTAGTGGTCGTCCTTTTGTCCAAAGATCAAAGTTGCCTCGGAAAGGTTGCCTCAGATATTGTTGCCTCAGATAATTGATCTAAGACATTAGGGTTACTACTAAGACGTCCTAACATTGCTTTAGTGATCGTACGTCCCTTTTTGAATTGACCCTCAAAACTCCAACGACGGTGCTACATACTCACTAATAGTGGGATAACACTGTCTAAAGGAAACAAATACAGAATGATTCCTTTTTTCGAGTAGGTAGATTAGTTCTTAAATACTTGCTCAATCAAAATAAACTTTTCACACTTACACTCCTTTACAAACAAAGTTTTCAAAAAACACTTCATTACACTCTTGAAGACAGAAGCAAGAGTTAAATCGAAGTCAAAACAAAAACTTTTCAAAGCACACAAACACAAAAAAGAAGCAATTTTGAAAATGATGAGCAAGTACCTAAGAGCCCGTAGATAACTACGGATAGAAAAGATGCTAACACCTTTCCTTTCTATAATCTACCCCCGTACTCAGAAATATCTCGAAAAAAGAATTTTTTTTTTGTGCTTTTTTCCTTTCCTTGTTGGATAAAATAAAAGACGGTTGCGATTCTTGCTTACCGCGACATTTTGCGAATACAAACGCAAAACACAAACCAACAATTCCTTAAAAAAGGGAAACCACGTCCCGGTTCTGGCCACCGTATCACAGATAGCTTGACATGATCATCTTTCCTAATAGGTCCACTAGCATATAAGAAAGTTTGATCATTTCCCCAACATCTTGTAGAGACTTCCTCAGCGCAGTCTATAAAATTCCAATTTCCATCAGAGTTCATTTCCTCGACACAGTTTATAGGAATTTAATTTCCCAGCGGAGTTTATTACTCCAATGCCCTAAATCCCAAACAAAATTCTCTTCTCCAGCAGGGTTTAATCAAAGTCGTTATCTTTAGAAGAGTTGCTACAATATCTGAAACTTGGACAGATAGCACATTGATGGAATATACATCTCTTTTATCTCCAGTCAGGATACGTAAGAATCAAATCCTTCAACAAAAAGAACGGAGAATGACTGACTCTCCTCAAGAAGAAGTCAAAGATCTCCAGCAGAGTATCCTTAATCAGAAAGTATTAATATAAGTACTATTAAGATTAAAATATATATTTATAATTTTTATTATTAATATGAGTACTATTATTATTATTATTAGATAATTAATAAATTTTTGTTTTAAAAACTGAGAATTAGAATAATAAGATATAATAGTGTTAATTGGATATATTATAATAATAATAATAATAATAATTATTATTTTTTATAATTGTGATAGTTAGTTATTATTATTATTATTATTATTATTATTATATTTATTATTATTATTATTATTATGATTATTGTACTATAATTATTAGCTAGATATTATATTATTATTAATAGTGTTGATTTAATATTATATTATTATTATTATTATTTTTATTATTATTATAATTATTATTTTATTTTAATATAAAATTTGTATAATTAGAATTTGTATTTAAAATGGTTGTTAAGATGACACGTGTCTAAGACTGTTTCTAAGATGATACGTGGTTAGAATTGTGATCATAATTTCTTTTAATTTAGATTAAATAGATAAATTAAATAACTTTAATAAAAAAATGAAACTTTATAAATATCATTTTTTAAAATATTTTGAAAACCAAATAAAAAATGGTTTAATAGATATGCAGGGACAGAAAACAAGTAGTCTTCCATGTTTTTAATTTTTTTTAAAAATAAAATGGTGATGTAATTGAATATATAATTGTGATTGATTATTTTACACTTAGTGTGCATCACTCTTTTCTCATAAAAAAAATCTCCTAAGGCCACTTAATTATTTTGTTAAAACAGAAACGGACCTATAAGTAGGAAAGAAAAGTAGAATCCCTAAATCCTTTCATATCAATAATCAATAAAAAAAGTGAGTTCTTCTCTAAACGTCCTGCCTATTCCATAATCATTATCTGAGATCTTCTCCAATCTCTTAACAGAAAGATTGCTTTGATCGCTGAGTATGTCTCTCCTTCTTTACTTTATCGTTGAAATTTTCAATATTTATTTTAAGATAATCAATACTTTGTTTTGCATTCGTAATCTTGCGTATAATAATCATCCGATAATATCTTTTTATAACTCGCTTTCAAATTGTAATCTACATTATTCTTCATGTTATTGTATTTATTTAGTGATGACATATTATTACGATTTGAACAACATGTTGATTTTTGAATCTTTGATGATTTTTGCAATTTTTATAGTTTTTATACTGAAGACATATTTTATGCTTGATCTTTTAACTTTTTAGGATTTTAAAATTTTCACAATTGGCCGAGTATTCAAGTTGTTATATTGTTTCGTGATTATAATTTATTATTTTATCTTCATGATACAATTTTAGATTTGTTTTATATCTTAGAGAAATAATAATTAGAAAACTATGATTCATCACTAAATGGCTTTCAAATTGCAAAATATTAATATATTTTGAACAGCATGTTGATTTGATTTCTGATTGTTGATGATTGGAAGAAGAAGTTTGTACCTTTTTATGGTTTTTTTTTCCAATAGCGCATAGTTCTTATAATTGTTGAGTTTATTTTTAGAATCACAGATGGAAGGTTCTAGCAACTGTGGTACAGGTTGTGATGGAAAGAGTGTAGCAATGATCCCAAAGATTCAAAAGACTCTCAATATTGACTTGCCTTCTAGCTCTATGGTTTCTGCGAAGGAGGGTTGTGAATCACCTTTGTCATCATGGGATTCTGAACCTGAAGCTGATAGCATGGATTATGGTTTTTCGTGGGAGATAGACAATAGAAGTTACGACGAGTTGCTCAAAAAGCTCATTGAAAAGGAGGAAGAGCTAAGAGTTTCCAATTTAAAACTTCAACTTTCGGAACAAGAGAATATCAAGTTGGTGGTTCAAGTTGAGAATAGCGAGATTCTGGTTGATGATGCGTGTGAAAAACTGAAGCTGAAAGAACATGAGTTGAATGAACAAAAGAAGCTTTTGGGAGATGAGATTGCAAAGTTGAAGATTCAAAATTTAAAAAGTGAGAATCAACTTGATGATGTGCGCGGAGAATTGGAGTTGAAAGAGAAGGAGTTGAATGAGAAAAAAGAGATTTCAGAACAAGAGGTTTTCAAATTGAAGAATCAAATTAAAGAATGTGAGAATCAGCTTGATAATGTGCAGGGTGAATTGAATCTGAAAAACGAGGAGTTGCAAAAACAAACTGCTAAATTGGAAACTCATATCGAAGAGGAAAAGAAAAATGTGGCAATATTAAAAGGTGAGATAGAAACCTTGGTTAGAACAAATGAGGATAATGTCAATAACCACCACAAAGAGTTGAGAAAAATGATTTCTGTACTGTTTGATTTGCAAGTTAAGAAAAGAGACTTGGATTCTGATATTGCAAGTTTGTCAAACCTGAAAAAACAATTGATCTCTAAATTAGAGGATTGTGAGTCAAGAAACAAGAAATTAGAAGAAAAAGTTAAGCAATATGAAGCTGAAAATCTGCAACAGAAAAAACTGCATTCTATTCAACTAAAAGACTTGGAAGATGAAATCGATTTTTTGAATATGAAAAGAGTTGAAGGTTCATTCAACTATGTATGTCACTCGAAAAAGAGGAACTCAAAAAAGAGGTGAGGAATCAGAATGGTTTGATCTTGGATATGGCTGAGGAGAAGAAGGAGGCAATAAGACAACTATGTAATTCACTTATTCAAGCATTGAATGGTTTATAAGCATCGCGGCGCTCAGCTTCCTAGTTTAAGATTTAGGTGTGTCTTGTGGTTTTGTTTTGTTTTGTTGGCTACATTTTTGGTTGTTATTGTTTGTTTTTCTTCATATCTATCTCTTATTCATATAAAGATATTCTGGAATTAGTAACACTGACACCGTTGTCTTTCTTTCATGTTATTATCATAACATAATTAAATATTCATCCTTGTTTTAATAGTAAAAATGGTGCCAATTGAGTTTCACCGGATTGTTATAATTCTTTTGAACTCTGTTTCACTTTTATGTTTGCTTTGTTGTGGAGGCAGCTTTGAACTTGTTGGGATTGTCTTATTCTAATTGTATCCTCCAGCTTGCTTTTTTGCTGGTGTTTTTAAGTTACACCAAAGCTGCAGCTCTTGCTCTTTGTTCAGTTTTTAGTTTTTCCAGTTAAAGAAAATCAAAATGCTTCTTCATTTTGTTTTTATACTAGATCAGATATTCCTTCACACAGACTATGATTTGAGTTAGAAATTCTGCAATTAATTGATTATATTTCATAAACGAATTGCACAAAAAGGAAAATATTCATATTATTCTTTTGTGAAAAAGGTTAGTTTGTCGAAAAGGAGTGAAAGAGATAGTTGTTGCGGGGAAGGGTGATTGTGTCCTTAAGGAGAAGTTGCATCTTCTTAAAGATAGGTTCAAATGGTGGAATTCAGAGGTTTTTGGAAGGATTGATTTGGAGATAGAGGAGGGATTGAGGGAGATGAATGTTGGGGATGACTTGTTTGGTATTGACGCCAACCATATGCGTGATGAGGTTATTATTAAAAGAAAGGAGGGAACTAGTTGTTTTTAGTTGAATCTCAGGATAAAGGAAAACATACTTATTCAAAAGTCTAGGTTGAAGTGGCTTAATGACGGAGACTCCAACAATAGGTTTTTCCATCGTGTTATGATGGAGAGGAGGAGATGCAATCATATTGGTAGTATTAACACTAGTAGGGGTATGGTAAATTCTGTTTGGGAGGTTAAGGAGGAGGTTTTGAATCACTTTTCTAATAAATTTGTTGAATCTGACTCGTGCAGGCCGGTGCTTGAAGGGATACCCTTCAAAATGCTCAATCTTACCGAAAAGACTTCTCTTGAAGTTCCTTTCACGGATAGTGAGATTAAGGAAGCTGTGTGGGATTGTGAGGGATCGAAAAGCCCGGGTCCCGATGGTTACTCTTTTATGTTTATCACGAGGTGTTGGTTCTTTATTAATGATGACTTTGTGAACTTCTTTAGGTGTTTTCAAACAGTAGCTGTGTTATCTAAAGCTATTATTTCATCTTTTTTTACTTCGGTTCCGAAGTCGTCGAATCCGTTGGGGTTGGATGACTAGGCCTATATGCCTTGTAGGGTGTTTGTACAAATATCTTTCTAAACTATTGGCGGCTAGATTGAAATTTGTTTTGAATTCAATCGTTTCTCCTTGTCAAAACGCTTTCGTGTCGGAAAGATGATTGTTGGATAGAGTTTTGGTGGCCAATAAACTTGTGGATTTTTCTATTAAGGAGGGTAAGAGTTGCTTACTTTTCAAGGTTGATTTCGAGAAAGCCTATGACAAAGTTAGTTGGAGATTTCTTAGTTTCATGATGAGGAAGATGGGGTTTGGAGATGTTTGAATGAAATGGATGGAGGTGACAGTCTTTGTAGTAAAATGTCGATGTTAGTTAATGGCAGCCCCACTAAGGAGTTTACGGTGGAGAGAGGTTTAAGACAAAGTGATCCACTGTCAACGTTTCTTTTTATTCTTGTAGCGGAAGGTTTATTAGGTTTGGTTAGAAAAGTTTTGGAGAATGGCGAATTTGAAGGTTTTAATGTTAACTGTAAATGCATCATCGATATCCTTCAATTCCCGGATGATACCTTGTTGGTAAGACACGGTAGTTGGAAGCACGTGTGGACTATTAAATCAGTTCTTAGGGGATTCGAGTTAGTGTCGGGGTTTGGTATCAATTATCACAAAAGCAAATTAATAGGCATCAATGTAAGTGTAAACTTTATGGAGGCAGAAACTTGTTTTCTATCTTGCAGGTTGAAAGAAAAAGAGTTCACCTTTCTTGGGATACTTATTGGTTCTAATCCTAGAAGGATTTCGACTTGGAACTCGCTTATTGACAAGTTGAAATATCAACTTTCAAATTGTAAAGGGTGATTCCTAAGTCTTGAAGGTAGGATCACTCTTCTTAAATCGGTATTGTGTTCTCTATCTATTTTTCTCCTTTCCTTCTAATAAAAGCTCGGGTGAAAATCGCTAAAGAAATAACCAAAATTCAAAGTAATTTTCTACGGGGAGGATCGGAAGAACGTAGAAGGATACATTGGGTTAGATGGAAGGATGTCTGTTTACCGGTAGATAAAGGAGGTCTTGATCTAAAAAGGATCGAAGACTTTAACTTGGCTTTGCTTCACAAATGGAGGTGGAGGATGTTAGAAGGATCAAAAAAATTTTGGTACAATATTTTGAAGGCTCGTTATGGGGATATCAGTCTGCATGTGATAAATGCGGGATGTTATTATAACAATATGACCTATAAATGTTCTTGGTGGATGAACATTCTATCCCTTGAGAAGAAATTGTCAGAAGATGTTTTTGTCAAGAAGTGCAGGTTTCAAATTGATAGCGGCTTTTCTACATCGTTTTGGCACACAGTCTGGACTGATGAAAGTAGTTTGAAGGAGATTTTTCCTGTTCTGTTTTTGCTCTCTCTTTTGCAGGATGTGTCGATTTCGGGGATGGGGGGCTGGAACGATGGGGAGTGGAAGTGGGGAGGTTTTGGGATCCTGGCGTCGGAGCTTCCAAGAGCGGCGGGTGACTTACAGCTTCTTTGGGCAGTTCTGGTCGAGTTTATTCTAGGTTCTGTTGGGAAGGATCAGATTATTTGGGTCAAAGATTATGATCATTTTTATATTGTTCAATCCTTCTTCGATTTAATTGTTGGTTTTAATGTTCCTTTTGATCCACCAAATCAATTTGATAAAGCTTTAGAATTGGTATGGAAGTCGGAGGTTCCCTTCAAAGTCAAGGTGTTCGGTTGAAGGATTTTCATCAACATATTATCAACGAGGGATTTATTGAAGATAAGAGGTATCAATTTTCCTGATGAGAAAATTTCTTGCATTCTGTGTTTGGTTGATGGGGAAAGCTTGGAACATTCCCTTCTGTTCTGTCGAGTTGCGGTGTTTGTGTGGATGGAGATGGCGGAATGGATCAGTTTCAAGGATCTTTTGGTAGATAGTTTTAAGGGGATTTTTATGGGTTGGTAGTATTTTTTCAAGTCTAAGAAAGAATACATGTGTTGTTTAGTAAATCTAGTGTATAATGGCACTGATTAAGTAATATACCAGACAAAGACCTAGCCACTTCAAGGATAAGAAGTTATTGAAGAGGACTCAAGTCTTTGATACATAATTTTTTGTGATGTGAGGGATGAATTTAACATTGTGAACTTTCGTGAGGTTGTTACCTACTAAAATCATGTCATTTACATATGGTAAAATGGATATCACAAGATTTTGTAAATAGAGAATAATTAACATTGAAATGATTGTAACTAGAAGAAATTAAGGAGTCATACAGTCTAGAATACCATTGTCTGCTGCCTTTCTTGAGGTCATAAAGACTTTTGTTAACTTTACATACTTTGGTGGTTAAGGATGAATGAGGAATATTATAGAATTTGAGGATAAAGTAAACAATAAATAGTATGAACTCATGAGAAATAAATAAGTTCCAAAAAAATTGCTTGAATAAACATAGATCTTGCAACATTATTTAAGATGATCTTGCAACATTATTTAAGATGAGTTGATGTTTCCTTTCAACAATTCCATTTTATTGATGATATTCATCACATGATCTTTGATGTAAGATGTCTGGTGGTTGATAAAAATCATTCATTAAAAATTCAAACTCATTGTTAGTGTGAGGACATTTTAAATTATCACATAATTGAGTGTTAATAAAATAAATAAAGTGAAGTAAATATTTTCTAGTTTCACTTTAGTGTGTCATAAAAATAACTGAAGTGAGTCTAGTATTATCATTAACTAGAGTAAGATAATATATTTAATTAGTGATAGAATGGAAGGAGTAAGGATGCCAAATGTCAGAATCTAAAAGAGTAAAATGATGAGAGGTAATTCTATTGCTATCAGAATAAGATAAATGTTTGTGCTTAGCTAAGTAACAGAAATGGAAAGGAAAATCTTTATTAACAATATGTGTAATACTAGAAAAAATAGAAGATAAAGTTTTGTGAACAGAATTGGAGAGGTAGCCTAATCGTCTATGACAAATAATAGTGGAAACACGTTGTATATAACTACAAGAAAAAGAGGAAGAGGGAGTAGAGGAAATGGCCTTATCTTGGAGAACATAGAAGTCTCCATGTCTATCAGCTAAATCAATCGATTTCGTGGAACTTTTATGCAAAATGAGATATTGTTTGTTAGTAAAGGTTAGAGGACATGAGTATGAATATAAACTTTATTTTTATGGGTGTATAAATAAGATGTTCTTGAGATTTTAATGGGATCTTAATTTCCTAGGATTGAAATTGCATACGAGGAGTGAAGTTGCATATCTTTGATACATTAAGGACCAAACTTCTATGTGGTTGTGTTGCTTGTATCTTAATCTTTACTTTGATTTTAGTTTGATATTTGAGTGCCCTGTTCAATTGCACATCTTTAAGGATCGGGTTTTGGATTTATATTTAACATGTATAATTCAAACTGTTTTTGTTTGAGTATGAGCATTATGCTTTAAGTTTATTAGTAGAGTTTTTGGAACAAGAACCATAATTGAGATTGTTTAAGTCATGCCAAAAGTAAAATCTCAAAATATCTTTAATAACTTCAACAATTGAGATTTT